GAGAGAGAGAGAGAGGCAAGGAGGGGGAGGGGCGGGAGAATTCGCGGGAAGCGTGACGCGTCGTGATACCGCGGTTCAAGGTCATCGTTGCGTACCGGAAAATCGGGGGCACGACAGCCTGGATGTCCCCTGCTTGATCCCCCTGCACTCGAGGCGGCGCGTGATGCTCCATCTCATGAGCTGCATGTTTCTCCACGTATCCGCGGAGAAAAAGGAGTCTCGTGCGTGGCGCCGACTCGCGGTGGCGCGCAAAACTTACGATTAAGTTTCGGTCGAACGCCCGCGTGTCGACCGGTGTCATCCGGCAAGGACGAGAACCGACTGATCGCTTGGTAAAGAGCCGGCCTGGGCGTAGGTACCGTCGCGCAACGTCACGCGTCACCCTTTCCCCCACCTCGCCACCCACCACCCCACCACCACCACCTGCCCTCCCTCCACCGCGCGCAAGCCTGTACACACGGTTATGACAAGAAAGGCGGCGCGGTTCATAAATCAGGGGGTAAGGGGCGGGGCCTGCGCGAACCACTCACCGACCGGTTATTAATTATTATACGGAGGGAAACCCCTCTCCTTAGGTTCCACCTACGCCGACCAACTTCCGGATTCACGGCGCTGCTGTGCGCTGGAGTGACGCGCGCTCCAAAGCGTACCCGGCTTTCGATTTTGTTCCACGCGACGCGCTACTCGGCTAGCGTTGGGGGGCATGAAAGCGTGAATTCGAGGATAGAGTTCCTTTGGTTCTCTCTGGAATGCGTCTAGACATCTCTTGCTTCTTTCTTTCTTCTCTTCTCTTCTCTTTTCTTTTCTTTCCTTTTCTTTTTTTTCTTTCTTTTTTTTTTTGGAGGGAATTCTTAATTCGGAAAGGAGAATGGAGATTTAAGAATCTGACGGTGAAAGAGGTATGCATAGCGAGCTTGTGGAAATAGTTGGAAGACAGTGGTGCTTAAAATAAGCAGGAAAGATAAATTGTTTCTTATTGACGCCTTCTTTATGGGATCTAAATTTCCGTTCACAGCTGTTCGTTTTAGCGTTTTATTTACCATGATATTCTTATATCGGTATTCTTGAAATACAATACCATTTTCTAAAGAGTTTTAGAAATAAGAAATAGTTTAATCGAAGAATTGTATATATCAATCAAAGGAATTAACAGTTTAAATGAAATATTTGTTTCTTTTTTGTTAAAATTTCCAAGAAGCATTTTTTTTGGAAAAGTTACAAAATTGTTGATGTATTGCTTCCTGTGTATCCCAAGATTCAGGACAAAAAAGATTTCACAAATTCTCTCTGTCCCTGGAAATGTTAGGACAAGATAAATGCCATTAGGCTCGTGTACTTTCTAAACTAGTATATAGGTATCTTTTTTACAAAAAAAAAAAAAAAAGAAAAGAAAAAACGTACTCCAAACATAAATCTAACGTGACGTTTGTTATATCTACTATAATATCTGGAAGAAATGATGGTTAAATTTTTCAAAAAATTTTCTTATTATTCTATATTCTAAGAAATTTTAATTTCATCTTAGGAAAGGATTAAAAGGATTCTTTCAAAGATCTCTGATGAAATTTGCTGACAAAAAATGAAATTTCACGTAACGTTAAAACCAACGACTGGTAAAAATAAAGATCGACAGTTTATCAAAAGACTATCTTAATTCGCTGCCAATTAATCGGTTGGTAACAGGCTTCGCAGAGCACAAATACAGCACTGACTAGAACGTAACTTTTCAAACAAAGAAACAGCTGGGCGTGTCGAACGCAGTAGCTGAATAAAGCCTTACCGGATTATCTATACTGGGCATAAAATAGCTTTAATTCGATTACATGTTATCGAGTGCGAACACTGTATTTCATACGGCTTCGCGATCAGCTTTTGACCTCTTCAAGACTATCCATTTCATCTTACCGTAGAAACGTTCGATTTTCCAGCAAAATTTCACTTTTTATTCAATCGATTAAAATTACCACATAAAACTATCAAATAATATATTCTCTTTTATGAAATTTTTCAATAAAATGAATATTGTCCACGAATAAAAAAATTATCTCCTAAAGTTTTAATTTATCTTCTCCCCTTCAAAAAAAAAAGAAACGAAAAAAATTTCTTCTTCACTTCTTCAATCGTAGAACAAAAATCCTCGAACGATCATCGAGATGTAAAATTCTTGAAAAGCCATTTATCATCATTCATTATCAAGCTAACAAGAGGATGAATCTCGCAATTCATTTTAAAATTTATTACCAGTCGTTAATATTAAAAATTAAAAGACCAAATCATAAACGGCCAATGTAATGCAACTACCAGTACGCAGGTGGTTGCGGTAGGGATTCAGATACAAGGCAATAATCCGCGTGGTTCCTTTTGTCGGACGGCCGACTTCCTGCAGGTCAAAAGCTCGTGCTGGCATTCAGTGGTTGGTTGCGTAACGTCCTGGCCAACTGTCCCGGCTCGTGGCACAAGCAACCCGAGCGACTTTTGTCGAAAATACAGCCTTGGGACCCCGGCGGATGATTTATACACGCCAGTAAATCATAAACTGGAAGAAAGCCGCGCTCCAACGGAGGTTAACGAGGCCCCCGGACTCCGCGACAATGCGAAAATAGGTCGGAAGTCATAATTCACGTCCGAGGAGCAGCAAGCAACGGCTACAGCCTGTTTCCTGCTCAGGAAGAGTATAAACATTTCGTTTGGAAGAAGCTACGAATTTGCCAGGAGAGACACGCTACGCTGATAGAGTTACTCTTTCACTTTCACGGCTACGATATCTGGAAGGCAATTTCCTTTCGGAAAAATCTTCGATCTCCGCTGATGAGATTCGTCGATGGATTATTCGAGAATACATTAGCATAAAAAAAGTGAGTAAGCGTACCAATTTCTCAATTTCTTGGACTCGTTGAGTTTAGATGCACTTCTCGTTTCTACATCTAAGTCCATAGTTTACATGCGTACATCGATCGTGAAGTTTCTCTGATCGCTTAATTCCCACGAAACTAGCGATAGATAATGGCGCCATCTATTTGCTGGAAGGAGAATAAAATCGAAAAGAGGAAAAAAAGTTCTCCTATTCCTTATCCAAGGTAGATTTCTCTAGCTGTGCGCTCAAAGAATCATCGAGCGAGTTGCCAAAATTTCGGAAACGATTCTACTCTCGGCCGAAAGCAGCAGGTTCGAACGTAGAGCATAATTGGATCAAGAGGATTCCGACTGGACTAGGCCCCTGGGCGCAGAGCGCAAAGGGCACCAACGACAAAGAGAGAGCATGGACCAACGACACGGACAACCGTCGTGCGATTGAACTAGGTTTTTCCAAGAGGCATAGAGGTTGCATCCCGTGGAGTACAAGGTCGCGGGACAAAGGAGGCCGATCGATAAAAGGCAGCGGGCGAAGAATCGTTGCGGGGGTCGTTGCTCTCTCTCTCTCTCTCTCTCTCTCTCTTTCTCGAGTCACGGTGCATCGGTGCCGAATACGAAAGGGATTCGTACTCGTAGTGACGGGGTCGAGTCTCGTTTAAATAAGTTAGCAGCGCGGCTCGGTGTGGCGGCGGCGGCTGCGGCGGTGGCGGTGGCGGCGGAGGCAAGAGGCAGAAGGAGGCAGGCAGGCAGGGAAGAGATAGCAGAGGAGGAATGAGAAATGAACGGGGAAAGAGAGACGCCGAGGGAAATTGCACGTGGCGGGCCGCGATTGGCTCGCACCTGTCTCCTCGGACCGCCCTCCTTTACCCGGGATCGCATGCCTGCGTACCTAATACGCTTTCTTACTCGTTGCATACGCGGCTGCCTTGCACCGCGTGCATGTGGATGCACACTTTCTCACCGGGGCCAAGGTGTTCGTGCCGTGTAATGAACCACCACCGCCCGCCGGCTTTGCCTCCTCCGCCTCCTCCCACTCCGCCGCCGATCCGTCGCAGTCGCCGGCCCCGGCCGAGTGGGGTACCGGAACAAAGTGGAAGGGGTACGGAAGGTTCTCCACGCCGGCGGCGGTGAGGAAAGGACAGACGATATATAGTAGTACATATTATACTTTTGTATGGGCCGCGCGAGGGGCGGTGGGGGCGGTAGCCAGGCATAGCCGCGCGGTTGCACACGGTTAATCTATCTCCGGGTAGACACTAAAGCGCAAGATGGAAGTCTCCTTCCATTACGATTGCCATATTTGCAACCTAGGCCCCCTCCTCCCCCTCCCCACCCGTTCAACACCCCGAGCTCGCGATCTTCGCGACCGGCCTCCCTTTGTTCGCGAGTGACTGCTGTCCGCTCGATGAGTTACGGCCGGATCGTTTTTCTTCTTCGCTGGGGGGCCCCTCTCGAGGAGGAGAAGTGGAAGTAAGGTGGGTCGTTGACGGAGGGTGAACGTGAACGTACCCTTTACACGAGTATTCATACTCCCCTCGATCATGGAGACGTGTGAATGGAAATAATGGCATATTTTGTTTATTGGAGTGGTTTCAGGTTTTGACGGAGATATTAGAGTTGTTGTTGAGAAGTTTATTCGAGTAAGGGAGGAGGCAGTTTAGAAGAATTATGGTGGGAATGGATAAGAGATGTATCCCTTGCTTCATTTTATTCAATCTTGACAAATGGACGTATCGAATTTGGCTTCAAATATAATTCGAAATTTTTATTTTTAATTTAAATAAACTTTGTAAAATGATCATATTTTCCTTCAGATTTTTCAACGTAAGATAAGATAGTCGTGGAATTTTGTGAAAAAACGTAACAGTATAGTTACACGCTTCGAGCTTTAAAAGATGTAGGCACATAAATCGCGTAACACGCCAGATCGTAAAATGGCTATCATTTCGTTCAAAGATGAGAAATCCAAAAAAAAAAAAAAACAACTACTTAAAATTTACCCAACAACGAGGACAAACCCACGACAGACAGACGACTATCTTGCCCGCGAGACCATTCGCGCAGCAACACTCTTCGACATCTCCTATTCCCCCATCTCCCCCCTCCGTACACGTATAGCAAACCTCGATACCCGGTTCTCCGGCTAAATACACTTTCCTCCCCTAGTTCAAATCTCGAACATTTTCATCGGTGTGGCAGGAGTTATAGGAATCCGCGGTGTTTGTTAGGCGATCAGTAACGCGTTAACCGTGTCCAGCCTTTGTTATCTTTAAACGAAGGCAGCTCAGAAACAAAAACACCGTCCGCCGAGCATGAAGTAATAAAGAACCTCGCGGCGGGCCGGCGCGACGACCGGGCTTAGACCGGGAGGGGGAGGGTTGGGGGAGGGGGGAGGAGGGGAAGGTGGAGGCGGCGGCGATGAGGTTGGCCGGAGGAACGGAGGAGGGCGAAGATCGTTCGGCGACCTGTTAAGTAACCAGCAG